CGTTATTACATTTTGCGTTGATCTCGACGCAAAATGTAATAACGCTAAATGTAATAATCTAAAAATCGTGTTATTACATTTCGCGTTATTACATTTTGCGTTGATCTCGACGCAAAATGTAATAACGCAAAATGTAATAATCCATGTTTATTACATTTCGCGTTGTTATTACATTTCGCGTTGTAACAAAGCATTAAGCGATGTAATTGATTTAGCGGCAGCTGCTTTTCGCGAAAGGCGCTAAAAGCTAAAAAAGAATACACAGCCAAATGTACTACGTTTACAGTAATCTGGCTGAACAAATCTTTGTACATGATGACATTTTCCTTCAAAAATCTAAAAGGGATACTTAGGTATCAATCGGTGAAATCGACAATTTACTTATAGACATCACTGAGAGAATTACCTAGTTGATTTAACTAGTGTGCCTAGTAAAGCCTTCTTCATGATTAGTAATCACTCTGTTTACTAGCTAAGGTAGTGAAAAGTTGAGTGATGGTCGTAAAGATACTTAGATACCTAGTGAAAGTTACTTTAAATTCGTATATTCACTAATATTATCTAGTAAATCTACCCAATATCTAGTAAAACTACTTTTGAGGTAGTGATTTTATGGACAGTAAATTTACTAGTCTTCCCAGTGACTTTCACTAGTTATTTTTTTTTCAGTGTATGTACCCTGCATGGTGATAAAAACACCGTGTAAGGTACCATAAAACCGCAAGACGGCAATTATGAATTCTAACAATTACATATTTATTCCTGATAAAGACATTAAAGGAAAGATGACAGGACAATAAACAAATTGACTTTAAGTCTAATTGATAACAAGTAATAGTTTTTCAAAAAAGCTTGCCTGACTAATGCAATCAATATCTATAGAACCTATAATCATGATAAGTTATATATATATAAACGTTTACATAGGGGTTATGGGTAATTATTTCATTAGAGTAAATTATGAAGACGTGGAACAAAACATCATACATTAATTTTAAGTTGTTTGCTACTTATGAAAGCAATGGAGAGCCTCGTTTTTGAAAAGGGGGAGGGGATATATTTTTAGATATTTTTTTTCTCTCATCTGAAAAAAAGGAATATGCCCAAAGTTGAAAATCCTATTTCGGGGGGGGGGGGGGGAAGTTCTGACCAACTTTTTTTCAGTGTCAAGTTCTTTCTGTACCAATTTTTTAAAGCATTAAATACTACATTTCCCTTTCATAAATTTCCTGTTATATACAGGGGGGGTCCAACCTTTCAATTAACATTTCCTATATAGTAAAAGTAATGTTGGGAAAAAAAGGGGGAGACAGCCCCCCCCCCCCCCCTGTTGCTACGTGTCTGGTGGAAAAGGAACAGTGAGATTTTATTTAAAAGGTATATTTTGTATGTGTTAAAATTGGTTTAGATCTGTTTTTCGTTTGTTGTATAAGGACACCTGTGGAGTGTTACAAATACTTGGAACTCAGGACCAATGAGCAGTTCCATGTAATCTGTTTCGTGCTAACACCTACTGTGACTCGGGACTTGGTTTTAAACGGTCTCATCCTAAGGACCGATCTCCACGTCCTGCAGTGGATTCGAACATGCAACGTAAAGCTCAGCTCCTCATTCCCAAACTGGGTACAGTCCACTAATTGTTTTCCCATAGGCGACAATGTTAACGTTTCTTCTTATAGCGATGTCCCTAATTTTCGTTCGGTAGCGAGTGACCCCTCAAATCAAAGCACATCAACCTGTCTTTCCTTGGTTAAAATCTCGAGGTGGCATGTCAGATTCGTTTTCCGGCAAAATGCGTCTGTCTGCGGGAACCTCTAAAAATGAAAGTGAAAGTAGGGGAATTTCAGAATTCTCACTGGCGTTATAATTAGGGCTGTGTATTGGTCTCAAAAAACCGATACGATACGCTACGATATTAAATCTTACGATACACGATATATTGGAATTCATTTTTATTTAATGAAGAATTCTATACAAAAACAGATAACTATAAACAAAATGAAAAAAAAAACAACTTTTTTTATTTTTTCCTGAGACAAAGTAAAATATCAAAGAAAAAAATCAACAAAATCATTATGACAGCTATAAATCCAATCTCAGAATCAATTACAATATTATCAAAACTTGATATTCTTTTTTAGAAAAACAAGACCATTAATATTGACATTTTCTGCTTTGAGGCATGCGCGAGTTGCATAGTCGTTAGTCCTTGCTAGTGTCAATTTTTGTGACGCAGAGAGTGTCCACGAAAGTGTACTTGGGGTTTTCGTTTCACAATTAGGTTGTAAGACTAAAATTAGAGTTAAAAAATGTCATAATAAACGTTTATAAAAAAGAAAAGGTTTTTTAAACTATCATACTTTTTTGATGTTTCGATAACGATAAACTTACGGAGATCTACAAACCGGCATCTCCTGAAGCCCGAGTTTACGCGGCTCAAGCTGGGAGTAGTATTGGTCAATGAAATGGTGTGGTGTCTATTCAAATGAAATAGTATAATTGAAGTTCCTCCTGAAGTTGTCACCTCTGCCGAACACAGATTGCACTTGGCTTTTCTATTGCATAAATGGCTGAAATAATTCCAGCATCTAGACTTTTTAGACACCATTTCTAGTTACGAATTGTTGTGATGTCGAACCCGATCAAAAATACGTTAAAAAAAGAACGAGTTCATTTCGGCTTTCGAATCGCAGGTTGTGTACCGATATTTGAAATTTTAGAAAAACCGGTACATATCGATATATCGGTTCAGCCCTAGTTATAATACACAAAATAATTCGGCTGATCTTCTTGATAAATTACATTTTCAAAGCTTTTTTGGTAGGAAAGATAATCCTTATCAACAAGTGTGAGGCTCAGTTCAGTACACCTGCCCAATTTTTTTTCTGCAATTTAAGGAACTTGTAATTTTTTCTGCACTACTTTCTTCTCCTACCGATTCTACAAATAATTAGTGGGATGTACCCAACTCTATAAATGGTTTTAGAAGATGTATTAATTAAAAAAGGGAATTGAACTAATGAATTTATGTATGCTGGAAAGCCGTGCCTATGTAAAGGTTATATATTAGTTTTAAAATTAAAATTTAGAATTAGATTCAACTGCATAGACTAAAAGGAAGACAGCTGAGCATATAATAACTAGCTATAGAAGAAATAAGTGAATCATTATGATGAACATGCAGAATATGTTTAAGTACTAGATTGTTGGGTATGCCAGAGCATCAACGATTGTTGAAAACAGCCCGTTATGCATAAATGACCCAACCCAATGAAAATATTCCTCAATCCTGGAATAGGAGGGACACTTTTCCTAAGTCTATTTTCTATGTTTCATATGAGAAAGAATTTTATCTCTGAAAACTTGGGGGAGGGGGGCTGCGAGTCCGGGCGAGATATGATCAGAAATATTACGTATATTTGGCCAGTTTTCCTCTTAAGAACTCTTTTTCCGTTTCGTTTTATTTACTTTAAATGATTAACTTCTAACTTCTTTCACAATATCAGCGATATGTTTTTTATCCCAAAGTTCGAAATTCCGATAAAAAGAACAGACTTGAAGTTTTCATTTCCATTCAGTGCAGTAGAATCATCCAAGAAAAGGGCGCGAAGATATATACGTGACATTTGGCGCAAAATGATTGTGACACCCCTTACCTAGTAGACAAATGGACTCATCCAATAGTACAGAAACGCAGAAAAAAGGTCAAACGGACATGTCCGTATTTGAAATCGCATGATATAAACAGCTGCACGCAAAAAAAAAAAAATAATAAAGGAAATAAACACATCAATATATTGTATCAGTAAGACAGTTATTTTTTTCTGCTAATTGTTGGCTGAAACGGAGGTAACAAATTCCAGTGATAATCAGCATGCACAAAATATTGCTGGCTAACTGTGACCTCTTCTATTCGCACCTCGGAAATATCAATCCTTATACAGCCTGACCCCGTGACGTCAGGCAATGAATATATAATTGTTAAAGAAAAAAGATTAAAATAAAATATTTCTATTATCGCATTAAATAATTTCGTATCACCATTCGTGATCAATTGCCTCATGGTGATACCTATGGTGAAAAAAGTGTAATATTAACTTAGGAAAAATTTACCAAGCCAGGTGAATTTTATTAGGAAAAGCTAAATGGTAAAAAATCAGCCTATGTGATATTGCAAATTTTTTGTCATTTTGTATTTCCTCATCAAATTCACCTGGCTTGGTATTTTTTTTTCTTAAGTTTATATTACACTTTTAGCACCAAGGTAACATATTCTGAAATTTATTTCACCTGTTAACCTTTCCTGAATGTGATTTGTCTATATTTGTTTTTCATTGAAATATTACTTATATTTTCCAAGTCTATTTCATTTTCCAGTTCTAAGGAGAAAATATTATAAAAATTATCCCCTTTTCTAAACTCTTGACATGATATCAAATCTTTTTCAAAGAAAAAAAAATGTATGTATAATCTGTCCTTAATAGTATATATATCTTCTTTTGCTTGTCAAGGAATTTTTTGGAAAAAGTTTAAATGTTTGGCTGTGTCCCCTTTAAATTGTTTCCTACGTATACGAAGGCTGTATCTAATGCGTTGAATGTTGAATTTCATTGCAATGTTAATGTTTGTTGGATTTGGCAATTTCATGCTTAGGACCACCAATCATTTCCATCTTAATGAAATCGATATTTCAGTGATAGCTAAATACAGAATACGTCTGGAGTAGCCAAACACTTTTTCGGAATAACCCAAGGCTCTCGTACATATAAACGCAGCGGCTGAAGTATCAATTTTCAAATTCTTAAGGAACGCATTAGTTTTTTTAAACACATAATACAATGAGCTATCTGTGTGTTATCTGTCTGATTATTGTCTTCTCAACGGTATCTCATGGTTCCTCTATTTCGCGAAAATTCACAGCAAAACTGGAATTTGATAATAAAATATCAAATGATGGACTATTAGGAGTATACACCTCTCAGTCGTTAATCCAGTGTAGCCTGAATTGTCAAAGAGAGTGTACATGTAGCCTCTTTGGTTACAATACAATATTAAAAAACTGCCGGATACACAGGGGGGACTTCACTTCCGGAATATCAGAGGAGACCGGATGGAGATACTTTTCTCATTATTGTATGTATTACTTTCTCTAACAAATCATGAATAATGATTAAAAGTGAAATGTCTCAGTGCTTGTAATTGCATTTGACAGTGGTCCAAACTATTCATTGGTATTTAAGGTGCATAAACACAGACTTGAAGTTAATATTTTTTGTGTATAATATCACGACTTAAATATTGCAATAGCATTTCACATGAAACTATATTAAATCTAATTTCATCTATTTCAAATTTTTGGATGGGTTTGATTGACACATCCTCAAACTTTCACATTTTTTTATTCTTAACTCTTTGCAACTTACTGTTATGCAACATACACTTAATGTTCACGTCATAGAAATATGAATTTACCATTTCCCTGCAAGCACTTTATAGCGTTGTACAACTTTCTGTAAGTTTAGCGTAAATAATATTATGACGTAATATTTAATAAGTAGATAACTTTTTTTTAAAATTTTACGAGATTTCAGCAAGTATAAGATAGAAAATTTTGGTGAATGAATTTTTTTTAAAGTGTGTGAAAATGTGTAATTGTGGATTCGAAAGCAAAACCCCTTCACAAGTATCCTTATTCCAACCTAAGTGTTGTGTACAGAGTTTAGCAAATTGAACACACTCGTGAAAGGTACAATTTTTGTAAACAGGGCACCACATATACTTGTGAACAGGAAAACCTCCCTCCCGTTATTCGACCCCAGGGCTTATTAAATAGTTTTTCACAAAATTTATTTAATACACTAACATGACTAATTCATCATTTTACAATAGGAAAAAATCGAGGAAAAAACCCAGAAAATAATCGCTCCATTTTAGTTCCGTTATTCACCGGTACCTGTGTACCTTGCAAATGATCACAAGTATTTTTACCTCTTAGTTCGTGTAACAGCATGCATTTGTTCAAATTTAAAATATATTTTGTGATGTTTAACTACACACATAAAGATGAATGTCAGCAGATTTTATCCGTTTCAGATCTTCCCGTGGATTGTGAGGATATTCGTCGTAATGGTCACCATTGTACAGGGGTTTACGTAATCTATCCCTTTGGTATGAACTCTCGCCCTGTCCGTGTGTACTGTGACATGACAAATCAGGGCGGAGGATGGACGGTATGTAGTTCATTTAGAAACTGTAACTAGTAACTAGATTCATTGATCTTGTGGTTCAATAGCTAAGTGTGATACCTCTGGTCAAATAGCTAAGTGTGAAACCTGTTGGCCAATAGGTAAGTGTGAAACCTGTGGTCCAATAGTTAAGTGTGATACTTGTTGTCGAATAGCTAAGAGCGAAACCTGTGGTCCAATAGCTAAGTGTGAAACCTGTGGTCCAGTAGCTAAGTGTGAAACCTGTGGTCCAATAGCTAAGTGTGATACATGTGGTATAATAGCTAAGTGTTATACTTGTGGTATAATAGCTAAGTGTGAAAGCCTAATTTAATTTAATAGGGGGACCTATTCTAACCCGGATCTCCACGGTGCGAAATATATAGGAAATATATATATGAAAACATCTTCTTCTCAAGAAACACTGGTTCAAAAAAGCTGAAACGTATGTGGAAGCATCCTTGGGTAGTGTAGATTCTAAACTATTCAAATCAGGGTAGGGCGGGGCCACAACAGGGAATCCAAGTTTTACATAGAAATATATAGGAAAAAAACTTTAAAAATCTTCTTCTCAAGAACCACTGGGCCAGAAAAGCTGAAACTTATATGCAAGCATCCTGGGTAGAGTAGGTTCTAAAGTGTTCAAATCATAACAAACAGGGATAGGGCGGGGCCACAATAGGGAATCTAATTTTTTACATAGAAATATATAGGATTTTTTTTTTAAATTCTTCACAGGAACCTCTGGGCGAGAAAAGCTAAAAACTTGTGCGGAAACATCACTGTGTAGTGTTTATTTTAACGAGGCTGGGGGGTGGCAGCCCTTTTCAGATTTTTTTATCTCCTTTAAAAGAAGAGCTCCATGTAAAGATATACAAAAATGATCAAAATTTAAAACTTAAATGTACGAATTTTGTCTTTGCCAAATGAATGTTGACAGCTTAAGATACCGTATCTAAAAAAATAAGTTAAATATGGTTGTTAATTTATAATTAAATTGTTGACCCCCAGCCTCCTTAAATTCTCCAAATTATGACCCATGTGGTAGGCTTGGGTCACAACATGTATTACAATGGGGAATTTGGTAAGGAGCAGCATGGTCAAAGCTACTCAGGTGAGCGATGTAGCCCGTGGCTCATGGACCTCTTGTTATCGTATTTTATGAGCCTTAGTTTAGTTTATTTGTGTGCCAAGTTATCTTGAAATCAGACCAAAACTGTAGGAGAAGTAGCATTACAAGTATAAAAGTATATACAGAAATTTCTATTTTTAGTAAGTAGGACAACACCATTTATCGAATAAAAAATCGATACACGGAATGCCAAGTTATACTGTAAGAGTAGGATAAAAAAAATTCAGACGGACGGACGACGGATGCATTATCATTGCCTAAGCTCTTCTTCCCTCTGACCAATAGAGCTAAAAGTAGGAAAAAGCAACTCGGGGGGCCTAAATAAGGAGAAATTTTGTTGATAGAAGAATGACAGACGGATGAATAGACAGATAAAGTGATTATTAAATGACATTGGCAAATCCTTTTAGAACTTTAATTATGTATGTTTATCCTTTCAAGGCCATTCAAAAACGAATAGACGGGTCCGTGTCCTTCGAAAGGAATTGGGCTGACTATAAGGATGGTTTTGGTGCACCTGAGCGGGATGTTTGGATAGGTAACTTTGAATCATTTTTCTTTCTTTCTTTAAATGAACATTGTACTGTATTTTCAGATTTGACAGAAAATCATGATCTAGTTTTCTACGTTGGATTCTGACTTGATGAAACATTCAAAGTATATTTGATAACATATCTTATATACTGAACAAAAAAGAAACGCATAATCAGAATAATATGAAATTCTAAGTTTTCAGTTTAAACCTTTATATTATTTAAGCGATTTTAGAGTGTGTTGTGATAAAAATCAATATTGCAAATTGAAAAGTCAATTTGATGTCATTTTCATTGCCCCCAAGTTCATGGGGCATAACAATATGTACTGTGCGACGTCTCAATGCTAGTGGGTTTCCAATGTACGGATATCGTGGAGGAATACCATCTCATTTCAGTCTCTTGCAAACAATTTATGCACTGTTACGCTGATTTTTTTCATCCAGCAATTGTAGCAGCAGTTTTTACAGCAAGTTCTAAATCGCATGAGGTGATGAAGGGGGGGGGGTGTCTGACGGTCCTGTGTGGTTGTGGTTACCTGCGGATGGCCAGATAGTGGTCTTCAGACATTAGTTTTAAGGTTGCAAAGCCCATTGATTTATCTCAAATACAGTTGCAACTTCCTGTTGCGTAGCTCCATTTAGTATCATCGTTAGCCTGGTTGTATCCATCTTTGTTTGGGCGTGGCATTGCAGTATCAACACTGCAATCAAATCTTAAATATGGGTTTAATAGAAGTGTTAAAAGTTTCTTTAAATCCAAAATATCAATGAAAATAGACAACTGATTTAGAAGAAATCACGAAAAACACTACTTTCATAAACATGTTTAATCAAGGGAGATAATTCAACTCTTGGGTTTTAAAACCCCATGTTGTCCTTTAAATAGATCACAGGTATCCAATGATATATAAAATAGTTGTTTCATGTACATTTTAAAAATTTCTTTGACGAGTAAAACAATATGCGTTTCTTTTTTTGTTGAGTATATATTGACCTGTAAGGGACTTAAAAGATCGACCATACGAGGGGTAATCAAAAATTTCGTGGACTAGCATCATAAAATTAAAACCGCTTTAAGCACATCAATGAATTTTAAAATATCTAGTTAGCATCATCTTTCTATCTAAAGAATAAACCATAAATCATAAATCTTATTTTTTATTAAATTACTGATGTTTTTGTACATTTTAAGCAATGGTATGTCCAGGCGTCGCAACCTCGAACACGACGTTTTTGCGACCTATGCGTAACTGAGAAAAACTCTTTTGATATGGTCATTTTACATCTAAAAATCCCGTCAAAACAGGTATTTGTCTGGACACAATTGTTTCATAAAATACTAAATTTTCACTTCATTCTGGAAGTTCTATGAAATTTTATCGCAAATTTTACATGGAATGTCTGAACAAATGAGTCCTTGAAAATGACGTCAAAAGGGGGGTTCTGTTTTCAACATTCAATTAAGTTTGGCCCCTGAAAAAAACTGGTATAGACCTAAAATATATTGAAACTGGCTGCAGAGAAATAAAATGCATCCAGAGTTCTTGTCTTTTAATGTCAAAATAGATTCAGAAAGAAGAGGGATACACAGTTAATGACGAGTGCACTCAAGGTGTAAAAAATCAATCACGTCAAAAAAATGACGTTGATCATGCATTGTAGATATTGAACTCCCAAAAGCAAAATATGCCGGCACAATTAAGCGCGGATCTCTCCCAATGTATTTATCCATTTGGAATATTATATTCATTGAAGGCCACTGTTCACGACATTTTAAAGTCATTTAAACAAGGCGGGTTTAAGTCCTTATACTCAGCTTCAGGGTTTCTCATCAAGAAAGTGTATGAGGTAGAAGAAGCGGACAATGAAAAAACAATGACGTTATCGGACGTCATGAAATTAAACGACGACAGCGCCGGGTGATCATATATCGTCGTTTTCATTTTATAATAATTTGGAAAAAAATGAACGTATCAGGTTAAAATTTTCAACATTTCTTTAATTTTTGTTGTTTTATGTTCCATATAAATTTTGAAAACACAGACTACATAGTACTAATTTATAGCCTCAGTCCACGAACTTTTTGATAACCCCTCGTATTTTTCTTTTCTCATCACAATTGTACAACTTTAAATAGAAATGGTAAACTGCATTTGAAAACTAGAAGGGACTATATTTTTGGCGGAATGACGGAAAATATCTTCTTTTCTGCCTCTCAAAATTATAATAGAACAATGAATTAAGTTATAACATTTACAAAATCGAAGATTTGGAGAAATTTTCAAATGTAAGTTAAAATTAATAATAAAGAACTAAACTTTCAAAATATATCTAATTAATATGATTTTTCAAACAAACTAGAACTTTGTTAGCTTTTAAACTCTTCCTATTAAAGCGCAGATTTAAGCCAAAAATCCATAAGAAAGTATTTTTCTTTCTTAGTAAACGATCAAAAATTTTTGTTTATGTATCATTTTGTACATTTATAAGATTACTTTATTATGTGTGAAAATAAGAAAAATATAGGAAGCATATGAAAATAACTCATAATCCTAAAAAAATTAAGAAAAACAGAGAAAATTCGGATTAACTTATATCCAGTTGAGTTAAATTATTTATGTAAATTTGGTAATATCATGCTATAGACCCGATATAGCAATATGTTCTTATACAAAAAGAACAATGTTTAAATTTTTGAAATAGAAGTAGGTATCACACGATTAGCATTAGTATTTTTTTTATTCTTAATGTCTTGCCTCTAATATTAAACGGTCAAAATTTAATCTCACTGATACTATCACTTACTGATATTGTCTTCTTGATTTTGTGAAAATTTCATTATTTTTTAATATTAGAAATACGAGAAGAATCCTACCTTAAACAAGATTGTACAATTTCGACAGTTCTTATTCACCGCTTGAAACTCAACCTTACAAATAATATATTTAATAAAACAACAAATGGTTACTTTATAAGACTCATTTGTTTCATAATAACAACGAATCAATATCTACATATAAAACGTAGTAAAGGATAAGTTCTGGATCATAAAGCGTTCCAGTATGAAATACTTCTCCCCTGGACAACTAAATGATTACAATAATTAAATCCATACAGGAAATGACGTCATCCATCAGTTGACAAAGGGAAGAGACTCCTCTCTCTACGTTTCCATCACGTTATCGAACGGTACAACATTGTACGAGCTGTACAATCAGTTCTCTGTTTCTGATGAGGCGGACAAGTATCAGCTGTTCCTGGCTGGTCCTGCTACGGGACCTTTAGGTATGTGTACCTTACAAACCATGAGAGAGAGAGGAAAGATAGAGGAAAATAAATACAAACAGGCAAATGGTCTATACAAGTTAAATTGATGCAAAGCATCAATTCGGCCGCTAACAAAATCTAGCATTTCAAAAAGTTCTTTCTAAATTTTATAAATTTAAGCATCTTTGACTAGTTTCATAATTATTGATTTAGAAATTTAGATAATGAGTACACTTGCAAGGAAGCCTAATGTCAATCATGTATATGCAAAGCTGAAATGGGGATTATTTTAAAAGTTTTACTTTAATTTGACAGGGGATGCAATGTTAAACCCTGTAAGAAATTCCAGAAGTCTGTCTGGAATGTCATTTAGCACTCCTGACAGAGACAACGACAGATTAAGTATAAACTGTGCTTCTGAATGGAGAGCCGGTTGGTGGATGAATGGGTGTTATGACGCCTGTCTTAACGGTCCCTGGTCTGTGAAGGAATGGGACGAACCATGGTATCCTCTTATAACATACGGGACGTCTGTGGCAGGGACGATGATGTTGATAAAACGTCATTAGGTAAATATCAGTCATTGTTTATACGTACAGTTGTTTATAAGTACAGTATTTACATTTTAAATAAGTACAGTATTTTTTTTTTATTTATAAGTACAGTTATTATATTATTTATAAGCACGGTATTTATATTATTTATTTAAGTTCATTATTAATGTTTTTTATAAATACAGTATTTATATTATTTATACATACAATATTTATATTATTTATAAATACAGTATTAATATTTTTTATAAATACAGTATTTATATCTTTTATAAATACAGTATTTATATTATTTATAAGTATAATATTTATATCATTTATAAGTACAGTATTGATATTTGTGTTGTTTATATGTACAGTATTTATTTATTCCTCTATTCCTTCTTTATGCACATTGTATTTCTATTAAGTACCTTATCTACATTTAAATGTCCTTTAACATTTAATATAATTTTGTGACCTTGGAATTTCATACAATTTTCGAAGGATGAAATAATTAAATGTATGTTAATGATTAAACATTTCTAAAATGTATTTGTATTTGATTATTAGTTCATGCTGAGCAAATTCGGATTCAAAGAAGAAACCCACATTTCAAGCCCTGTGAACGAATAAGGACGCTGTTCTGCGAAAAGAGGCACTTTTCTCTTTTGTGTTAATCCGTGCATTTCTTTAACTTTGATTTGATTTTGACAAACACGTAGTGTGCATTTTCAATTGAGGATGTGGAGTTGGACAGAAATTGACTGAATGGCAAAAAAAAAAAGAAATTAAAGACGGCTTGTTAAAAAATGAAATATTCCAATTTCAAAAAATTAGGGGAATGTGTGAGTTCTTAGCATTTTAAGAAGCTTGAAATGTTAAGAACTGATCTAATTGCAAGAAAATATGGGTTGGGGGTTTGACTCTATTTAAAAATTGGAAAAGAAGGGTACTTTTAAAAATTATAAATAAAAAGTAAAACGTTTGATTGACAAAATTGGTGAATCCCCTCCTCGATATTACGTAATTATAGATAATATTTGTATGTTCTTCATTGATGGATTTTTTCCTTTTGCTATGAAGTGTTGTAATTAAACTGTAAACTAAAATTATATTTTGTTGTTTTCAAATACAAAAAGATATACAAACTGATATAGCTGCAAACCTGTAGTTTGTTGGTCTGAAATAA